GCATCGGCACAAAACTCTATCTGTGTATCTGAACACCGATCACATGCGTTGCCGACCCCCTGTTTATACTCGTTGAGCACCGAGCAGCCGGTCCGTTCTACCGGGTCCGTCGGCGCTTGCACGTCCAATCAACCCTCTCCTTTTTTTGCGGTGTTTTTTTTTTCTTTTTCATATCTGCATTAATGATTTTTTTCCCCCATACTTCACGAAATCCAGTCCGAAGCCATATGAGGTGGACGGACGGCCGCCCACATGTCCCCGTCGGTGGCAATCGAACGTCAGAACGCGCATGCATACGATATATATATATAAATAAATAAATATATATTTATATATATATTTATTTATTTATTTATATATTTATATATACACATATATATATATATATGTATACATGCACGTTCCGACGTTCGATTGCCACCGACGGGGACATGTGGGCGGCCGACCGTTCACCTCGCAAGGCTTCGGTCCAACGACTCAAATTTATATATATATCGTCAAATAGAACTGCCTAGTAAACCGTAGGCAGAGAGGGAGAAGAGGACAACAAACGATATATATATATATATATATATATATATATATATACACATCGGAGCGCAAAATCCAACGAATGGAACGAGAAAAAAAAAAAACAATCACCGCGAGGAAGGGTCCGTATACCGATCACCTTCGCCGCCGTCACCTCCGTTTCCCCCCCTACGAGCGAGAACACCCACCAGCATCTCTCGAACGTTGTTACCACTCGGCATTGCTTCAGCCACGTCCCCTATCCGAACAGCGATTGCACTGCCAGCGTCTGCGGTGGCTTTGGCGAGGGCGGTGGCCGCTTTGTCGAGGCCATCACAGTACGATCTGGTGGAATCCTCCATGGCCCTACCCAAGCTCATCATGCTGCTGCCGGCGTCTTCCTTCCGCGCCTTCCCATTGGCTGTCCTCCTTGATTTAGCGGATTTGTTGGACTCCTCCGCGCATCTTCCGTCCGATCCTCCACTCGGCGGTGCATCTGTTCCACCAGACGTGAGGTTCTCCGAAGCCAGCGTGTTGTCACACCTCATCGACGGCCGATTCAGCTTCCACTGCATGGCGTCCCACAAAGCTTTCTCAAAAGAAAGCGGAAGACTCTTCTCCTTTCGTTCCTCCACTGTCAAATCCCAATACGATGGTTGCCCAGACGCTTCACATTTCTCCACGATTAGCTTGGCCGTATTCAGCATGTTCGACCACTTCTTGCGACAGTCCTCACCGCTCCTTTGTTTGAAGCCCGCGTCCCTCATTCTGTCATTCACCCATGCGTACCGCTCTTTCCTCTGCTTGAATCGGTGCTGGCCGTCAGCATCCTCCATGAGGGCGTTATCCTCACCCATCAACATGGCAAGCTTCACACGCTCGTCTAACGTCCATGGGACGTTAGACTTCTTTTGAGCTAGCGGGCAGCCATTCGGTGGTCGTCCGCCAACCGCTTCACCTCCCACACCCCGACCTTGAACATCACCCTGCCCGGCCGTCGAACTTGCGACCAAGGGGACTGCACTTGCTTGCTCACCTTGACCTTCTTCGTCACCCGCCTCGGAGCCGCCCGTGCCTTCATCGCAYGCAGAATCCACTCTAGTATCGGGGGACACCGGCCTTGGCGTCGGCCGATTCCAACTGCCATCCGTGTCAACGCCCTCCGCTGGAGACGGAGAACCCCGTGTGCCGAAATACCCCCACTCTCCCTGACTGCACTGGGGAGACCAATGCCTGCCACCCGTTGGCACACTACGCGCTTGCATTGACAGCATGCCAAAACCTGCACCTGTGCTCGTGCCTTCAATGGGAGACCGCGATGSATACAAATYGAACTRCTGCTGGATGGAGAYAGGATGATCGYGCAMGCCAAAACCGCCATCCSCACRCAAGTCCCGTGCCTSTGCACCACCACGCGGTGCGCYCSCGGCCATGTTCTCCGGAGAATGGCCAACAAACCCTCCACCGAAGGCCGRCGGAGTGGAAGCACCACGTGCAGGGTAGTACGGCTGCTGCATGGCCGACGGGGGCTGACGCAGGGCGGCGAATGAGTGCGGACTTTGAACTGCATGACCTTGATGGCCCGGTGCATGCAGTTGTCCGTCGTGCATGTCGTTTCCGCCATCGAATCCGACGTCGCCATCACCCGCCCAACGTCTGCTATCCATCGTCGGACCACCAGCTTTGACGACAGCCAAACGGCGCCGAAAGGTGGCACCTTTCGGCACACACGTGTACGGCTCGACTGCCGACGCCTGGACAGAAGCACGACCGCAACGAACATGAGGACTGTGGACAACAATAGGAGCCCGACAACGAAGACGAGGAGGAGACTCACTGCTGCAGCCGCGGCGGCAACAACGAAGAGCGACAGAGCGCCTGGTCGCCCCACGCCGCAATCGTTGTCCACGATGACAACGACGGGACGGTCCGTGACAAAACCCAACCGACCCCCCCCAAAAGCCGAAAGAGGAGATGGAGACCTGCCCTCTCTGATCGCCACGTGCCCTGTGGTGACGTGTTCACGGACGGCAGAAGGACTACAGACCTCCACTACTGGATTCCACAAGGGAGGGCCTCCACTGCTGACTGCAGATCGCCTAGAGTGGACGACGAAGGACGTTGAAGCGGGTGTGCGTGGGACCACCCTCGGAGCAAAGAATGGGGTTGTCGGAGATACCACCACGTCAGCACACCCGCTCCCGCGATGACAACCTCGCGCAGTTGCACGTACGGAGCTGAAGACAGTACTCTGTTGCAGCGTTCGGACCGCAGCGCACGCATCCAAATGCGCCGAACGATGACTCCACAGACCACGAACGTGCGACATGGCAGCACGTCGGGCTGAAGCCACATGGCCGAAACGAGCAACGTTCAGCAGCAATGGCATGGCAGATCGACGTTAGACCCCACGTGTCTTCGAAGAAGACAGTGACGGAATACGAAGGGCGGAAATGTGCAATCGCGGAGACGTGAACGACAGACAGTGCGGTGAACTATCTGCGCCGTACACGCCCCAAGTACTTGTTGCGCATTTCGAAATCCCTGTTGACGCACCGCCAAAATTTGAATTGCACGGTCTCTCGTAGCGCGGTGCACTGGGACCACTGCGGGGGACCACGTGCGGGGACCGCCAACGGCCACTTTCGATAGATCGTGCGACACAATCATCGTTCGTGCTCTCTCGGCCTGGAACAAACGAATGTCCGCGACGGCCTTTCGCTGCACCAGTCCTGGCCGGCCTCCGATGCCAACGGCTGGCGCTTTKCCCTCCCTACCCTGTTGGAGCCCSTTSTGGAAAACRGCGCCGGCCGCGGGGGGAGACTTTTCCAGCCGCCAGCCATGTAGAAACACACCTGRCGGTGTTTTGGAAACGGCAGTGGGGTCTGAAATCCACGTCTGCAGWCCTCCGTAAAACTTCSTGGCGGCCMAGTGGGGTCCGAAATCGCCCTTCCATGCCAAAACTTTTCCAGRCGCCGGGYAGTGGGGTCCAAGCCTAAATTCCTATTCTTTCATGTAATAGTATTTCAAGGTGTATGGTATCGTCGTAACTTGAGTTCTTCATTGCCCTTGTCGTTCTYGCTCCATGCATCCTCACTGTCCTCTTCAGACATAACGCTGAGCGGCTGCTCTTGTGAGTCTGCGACTCTGCGCCTATGCTCCTACATGAAAAGCCAGACATCTCGGTAGCTCTTCGAGCAKCAGCTCGGCGCGCACAGCTGCTACCTCTCACACACTACCGTCTTCCCCYAGACATAWCGCACGTGCGTTGTAAACGAATACAACGGATACRCTGCTTTCTATTCGAATACATCGCATATGCACTCTGTTTGAGCAGCCCTTACTTTCGAATACAACACRTATRCGTTCTATTCGAATTTTTGAACTTTTTGAAAGCACTGGAATACAACACATACGGGGGGAAGATGGGTACGCTGCAGCAAGGGGATTAAACCACCAGTACTTGGGGCCGGCCTTAGCGTTAACGCTACGAAAATTTCGCGTCCGGCGGGCTGAGGATAAATCGAATCCACAGCCCGTGTCGCTTCGACCTCCGGCGCGAAGTGCCCAAGTACTGGTGGACTATGTTGCACACCCGGCCGGCCGGGGGGTCCGAATCGACCGCGGCCTCAGCCGCCGAATCGGCTCGGTTCGGCCTAGGCCGACCAGCCGAGTTGCGTGC